GGGGCGGGTTTCCCGGCACCGACGGCGCCTTCTCAGCGCGGCCAGGCCCGCGGCACCGGGGTCCCGCGTACAGAGCAGGAGCACCAAAACCAAACCCCAGACCGAGGCGGTGCAGTGTCTGTATAGACTGACCAAATGCACGTAAGTGCTTCTAATGAAGCACCCAAGCGCAAAGGGTTTCTAAAAGCCAGAATCCAGTGAGCACCACTGGAATATTTCCGCGGACTAAGCGGACCCCTACAGCTGCCCCACATGGAGGGCCGTCAGCTAGGAGCAGGGTTTGGTAAACAACGAGGTATGGGCACTCCGGGGGCTGAAGGTACTGAGCATCACTGAACAAATCATATCTAATTATACACACTCTTCGTCTGCAGCAATTCCCTTGTGCCATCACTTTCCTCCAGAGAGGGAACCACACTGGAAATTACTGTTGGAACAGAGAGAGTGACAGAAATGTTCCCCTATTGCCCTGAAATGGGGTGGTGGTTTTTAAACAGCGCCAACCAGAAATATTGTCAGTTAAGCAGTAACATTCAGGATGCTCAACCCCCAACTACTACCAGTAGAATTTAGTTTTAACCCAAATTTAACTAGAAGAATTAGTTTTAGCTCCTCATTTAATCAGAGCAGGAAAAGCAAACTCAAAAAACACACAGAAAATATTTTCCCCTTGCACTTCTGTTTGGCCCCTCCTACAAAAAGTGGCACTATGAACAACAGAAAGATATTACAGGTGGGGTAATAGTCTGGTGTTATGGGATCTTTAAACCAGGAATACTAACAACACTGAAAGCCACATAAGGAGAGGCTCCCCACCTCATCTGGGCAGCCACAGAGGTCACTAGGACAAAGGTTCAGATCACAGGGAACAGAAGGCACATGAAAGAGAAAGCCAAGGAATGGCTGCTTTACCTCTCCTCCATAAGGAATGACTCTTTATTAAAAAGTCACTTCATATTCTCTTTAACTTGACAAGTTCTAATCTCCTGACATGCAGCTAACAGATGTATGTCTGAGAAAAGTATCAAGTACTTCATATCTGATTAAGACTTCTTCAAACTAATTATTTTGTTAGTTTTAGTAAATAATAATTATTTAGAACTCCTGAAGAAAGTTTCCTAAATAAGATTCAGTGTGTGTAACCGGTATAAAAGCCTAAATCGGCTCCAAACATTCAAAAGCTAAAACGCCTTAAGTAAAATTGGGAAAAAGCATCTAGACATCCTTCATATTTTTACATTATCAATACAAGTGGGGCCTGTCTCACTGCAAGATGAAGCAAGTTTCAAAAAGAAAACTGAGGTGCAGGTTACTTTCTTCTTTTACAACCTCTTAATGTAACAAATACATACTCCTCTGATTCACTGTATTGCACAGAAATGACCATAAGCCGATTTCTTCATGCAAATCTTAACCTGTTTAATACGTTAATAAGAAGTTAGATGTATCTGGAAAAGGAACACCATATGTATGTTGGAAAATGATAACGTGAACCAACTTGTACACTTGCAGTCCCTACGTAATCTCACATATCATGTATTAGAATTGCTCAATTTATGAGGCTGATGAAATACTAATTTTATATTATTATTCTGGTTGCAGTGTGATAAAAGCAATGCAGTAAAGGAGGTAATGGGCTTTCAGACATGCATAACTTGTCCATACATGAATTATCTGGCATTAGCTGATGTTATTTGGTCATAAATAATATCACTCCCACACAGGCACTCTTTGTCTATGCAAAACCTCTGTCCCCCATCTGAGAAAAATCTTATCGCCAACATGGGTAAAAGCCCCAAGTTCATCTTAGCACAGACAAGAAACAATAAATATGAAGTGAAGATGTATGGACACCCTCCTCTTACACTGCACTGCAACGCTGATAACAAGCCTGTGTACCTCCCTAGTCTTCCCGTTTGAGTGAGAGCATGCAGGTGCCATTTTCCCTGTTCAGAAGGCAGAGAATTCACACACCTGGGGTCACATACCAATTACTGCAGCAGCTATGTCCCATACTTCTGCAACTTCTCTGCTGAAATCCTCAGTTTCTTTGGTCTCTGGAAAGCGTGACTGGTCTTATCTTTCACTGGAATATCAAACCAAATGAAGGAGTGAAGGCACTCCAGGGACCTGTCCAATGCTGTAGCAAAGGAAAGAGTTATTAAGTAAAACCAACCAAATGGCAGAACATCAGGGACAAGAGGATCCTCCATCACTCGCAGCGATGGCAAAACCCCACCATGAGTAACTGATATTGAATATTTGTAAGCAATGTCATAACGCTCAGCATGCTTCAGACAGCAATAAGTACACTTTAGAGGACGCCAAGCAAGAGGGGTTTGCCCCAGCTAGCCAGGTTAAAATAGGCCTTGGGAGATGGGAGTGCTACAGATCCAGCAGGCCTAATTACTCGAAAGAAAACATCATCTTGACATTTTCTACAACAAGATTATTAATTAAAATTTCCAAATTATTAAGTAAACTGTATTTGGAACACACAACTTATTTTTTCTTGTAAATAAAGGTATTCTCAGGTACATTTCTGTTGTATGACTGATACACAGAATACTCTTCACTCACCCCAGGCTTCCAGCATTAATCAAACTTGCCACTGGCCATGCTAATAGGATTCCAGCTACTCGAATCTAGGACAGCAAGACCCCAACCTTGTAATGCATGTTTTTTCTCTTTAACTTCCCTTCTTTAGCTGTATTTTGTCAAGATGCATCTACCACTGTGCTGCCTCAAACTCTTGTTTACCATTTTACCGACTTCCTTAGCTCTACCATTTAAAAAAGTTTTAACATTACGAAAGCACCGATGTTAGGGTCCTTAGTCAGTTTGCATTTAAGTAAGAAAAAGCCCACTAATTTCTGTTGCTCCATGGGTCGGTGCAACCCACATGCATCATTCATTGAGCCTTGCCTGGAAACAGATGGCCTAAAACGAAATCTATGACCTTTTTGCAAATTTTGTGGCAATAATTTACCATATGACCACTCTCAGCAGTTCCTCCTGTACTACTGCCAGAATTTACCACACTCCTTGAAGGCAACAGACAGAACCACATACAGTGACATCAGTTAAATAGCATGTTAGCTTCGTGGGTGATTTGAGTTTTAAGCAGCGATGGGATGTTTCTTAAGCAGTTCCACTCTTGCTAAATCATCCCGCCCTCACACTGCGAACTGTTGTACCAACACAGCTGTTCTTGTGGTGCCACGGCGAACTATCAAGCTGAAAAATAACATGGGGGAAAGAGTTTGAATCAGATTAATTCCTTGATATGGTTTATAACGTGGCAATACAAACAGTTTGGAACAATCCAGTGGGAACAAGTAGTAAGACACTGGTTAAGACAGTGTTTTCACTAGAGAACTGCACATCAAAACTGTGCCCACATACAGGAGGTTTTGCATAGTGCCTGAGGCACAAGCAGTCCTTCCTTTCTGCCAACTTTACAACAGAAGTAACCTTTGACAGGTTGAATGAGGTGGACTTTAGGACAATCAAATTTTAAGCCAAGAATTTATGTACCAAAGCAAGTGAAGTGAAAATTGGTGTACTTATTCTGTTAAATGTTTCATTATTTGCCCATACTTTTAACCTATCCTAAGTAATGTCTACGTCTGGAGATGTGCAATATGTATATACAAGATAATGTCCATCATTCTCTGGATGTCTCTTAAGGAACTATGACATGGACTAAAAATTAAAGAACTGTGAACAGCTTTGAGAAAATAAGAGATTGAGTCCCACATCCATATATATATCTCCATATACATATATCTGCATAAATATATATATATATATGTGTGTGTGTGTACACACATGGGATGAATGGTCACTTGTATCTAGAAAATCCAGGGCTGAACAGCTCTTTAAAAGAACATTGATTACAAAGTCTGGAAATTCACAAGAAAAAAATCTAAAAATAAAGAAAAGAAAATGGCCAAATGAAGCTTAAGTAAAAGAACAAGAGAATGGATATACTGGAGGCTAAAGAGATGAAAAAGCACTTGAAAACTATTGTTTCAATAAGACCTAGCCATTAAAAAAAAAAAAAAAAGGAACTAAAAAAGAAAGCAAAGGGAAGGAAAAGGAAAATAATATGGAAAAATCTAGAAGAATGAACCATCTTAATATAGGCTCAGTAAATGCAGAGATTCCAGAAGTCTACCCTGGTCTCCACTTACCCTGCTGAGTTAAGTTTCAAAGCCCGACAAAGCATTTCAGTGGTTTCAAAGAGATATGTACCGGAAGAAACATCAGGAGCTAATAGTAGATGTCACATTCTGTCTCAAATTAGTGCTAAATCTAAAATGTTCATAGGTTACTCTGAAATAGACCGCTTGCACTGGAATCACAGTTCTTGCTTCACCTTGTACCCTCAACATGATAAAAGTTGCCAACTTTGAATTTTATTACTATTGTTATTTGCACAGAAATTACATTTTGGCTTTTGATTGCCAGTCTGTCTTTCGTGCAATTACACAAAATACAGGCCTAAGGGTGATTATCAACTTTCACAAAGCAATGCTGAGACAGGAATGCTTACGGGCCAAGTTTTGCCAGAAATAAATAATACATTTTAATGAAAAATGTTTTCTCTGTCCTTTCAAATAACAGGAATCAAGTTTACTGTTGGCACTTGATCGCATTGTGACTCCTTCTGTTCTCTTTGACTTGTATTGTCTTTCAAAGCAGAAATAAACCAGGAGTAAACACACTGTCAAAAATCGGCAGCAATAAGGAACTGTTGTTGGAACCATGGATTCTTTTGTTAATAAACAACAGCTACTACTTACCTGATGATATCAGATTCTTCAAAATACTTATCAGTTACAGTCTCAATATTCATGGGTCCTCATGCACCTGAATTTGGATTCTGTTGGCCAAGAGTGTGTATTCAGACTGCCCTTATGCCCTTGGTGTCACTGTGTCCCCTTTCCAGAGACAGAAAGAGAAGAACATAACTGTCTCTCAGTAGTAAGGAAGGCTGATTATGGAATACATATGGAGATCACATCTCAAATATTAATAAAAAGAATTTAAAAATCCCTTACTTCAGTAACCATTCCTTCTTTGAGATTCCTTACTCTCAGGGGTCATCTACATAGTAGTTCAGATGAACTAAACTGAACAAAAGTCACTTAATTTTGAATGGGAGTGTCCATGCAAGATTTATTATGCAGAAATTGATATATTTTAAAGTTATCCCTTTACTCAGTTTGTTTTAATTTCCTTTAGTGCTATATATTGAGATGGGAGAAATAACAAGGCAGAACTTGCCATGCAGGATAACCGCAGTACTTAAAAGTCTATTGACTAATGATTCGATGATGGCTTAAGGAATGCAAGATTGTATCTCAGTATTTTCATGTTGAGTAATATGACCTGAATGTATACACCAACCAGACTGTTCGATACAGAATATTGTTACACAAAGTTGCAGCAGCTGGTCCTGTTAAGTGGGTACTCCATTCTTTAGGCTAGTTGCTTTAAACAAGCTAATTCACACTATGAGAAGGAGAATAACATCTCTCTACATGAAAAGCTGGTGCCACAGCTGGCAAAAGACAGATCCTAACACAGTTCATAACTCGCAACCGAAGATACTAGGAATTAACTGGCATGACTACAATCTACAATGCTCATTATGCTTTAAAAGGGAACAAGTAGATAGAGTTTGAACATAATCTTAGAGATAACTGGTCAAAGAGAACAAAACTCAGTACATGGTATATATACACAACACAAAAGTGAAGCTATTTACTCTCTCTGAGATAATGGTAAAATCTAGTAACATTAATTTGGCAATTCTGAATTTAAAAAAAACCCTGCTATTATTGGGGATGAGGAAATCTAAGGATGAAATGTTACTTTTAATTTTTCTCTTACAGAAATTCAAGCACATTATGCTGGTTTCAGTGCAGTTTGTCATTATGCTTCATTCAGAAGCCTTGTTACAAATGAGGTAACTATTCTTACTCTACTCTAGCAAAAAATCTCAGCGCAATGTTTTGCTCCACTTACAGAAAAAGGGTGTCCAGATACCCATGGCTCCTCCTATTTTTCAGCCATCAGCTGTTTTCGCACCTTGTTAAGAATCACTAGGACTGAGCTTGCTATAAAGTGATCTTACTGCCTTTTCTATGGCTTGGTTTTTGGTGTGTTTTGTTAGTTTTGTTTTTTTTTGTGTTTTTCTTTTTTAATAAATCTAATGGGTGACAGAAACCAAAGAAATTTTGGAAGATCAGTATCTAGCTAAATGCTTTTAATTGAAAAGTGACCAACAACCTTTTAAAAAAACTCCTTATCTTTAACTGAGCAGTAGTTGAAAGCCATCAAGAAACAGCTCAGAGGTGGGCAGCTCCTGGTTCTGAGAATCACAGAAGTTGGGCTTCATGGGATTTAATTTATATCTTAAAATTTTGCTTTGGAGCATAAAGAAGTTCGCATACAGTATTTGGAAATAAAACAGTGAAAATAAGTAATGTTTCTTGTTTCAATATTTAATCCAAGCAGACACAGACACAATTTAAAAAATTATTCTATTGCATTAAAGTTTTATATATCATTTAACTTTTATGAATGTTTTTCCTTCAGTGTATCATATATTCATATTTTAAAATATCTTTGCACAGTCCTTTGTGCAACTACATGCTAAAAATCTGCAAATGCACACTTAACACTAAACAGCACAAAAAATACATTCTGTATCCATTCATATGCAAATTTCAAACATTTCACTTGGCAGATAAACAATGAAAAGTTATTTTAAAAAAATCAGAAACTACAAAAATGCGCACATAAAAGTCTTCCCTTTTGGATTTTTAGTAAAATACTGCTCTGTATAAGATCTAATGAAAAACTCCAGTGCTTACAAAATACTTTATATCTATGAGAAAAACAAAGGCTTAAATTTATATCTGTATGAATGAAACATAATCACCTTGTTAAAATGTAAAACTGAAATCATAGGGGGCATGGCATAGGTTAATGCATATGTCACATCTATCAGGACATGTAAAACTGTAATTAACTGGGCACCAGGCAGTCAGTATCATAGAATATATAAACTAAAAACCACAGACTAATGCAATATGCAGCAGCTACAGAATAAACTGTTTAGCCAGCTATATATACTAAACATAGCAATCTATTTGAAGAGGGAGAGACAGTCTCAGTCTGAAGTAATTAATAATAAAATTTGCTGTATTTATTGGTGTTAAGAGTATAGTGTCTTTCATAACTTTGTTTCTAAAAAAATCTGCATAAACTGGCTATCCTGATATGTCAAAATTCTGTGATGCAAGAATCTAACACAGTCTCATCTCCATCACAGGAATTTCTAAACAGATCTTAATCTCTGATTATCAGATAATTCTTATATGATATGAGGGCCTAACATCTGTGCCTCGTAACTAATTTTCACATAAACACTCCTAAAATATTGGCATGTCAGCATTGTGTCAGTCTCGTGTTGCTAATCACAGTAAATCACAAAAACATACAACTTCCCCTCACAGAATATGGCTTCAAACCCTCTTGAGACTAGATGGCTATAGAGAACAACAAATCAATGTATTTTAAGACTGTATATAGACTATTCTACAAGGTTTGTGATACCAAGTAATTTTGTTTTTACCTTTGAGATCCTTTTTATAGGGTTTGCTGCTATTCTACAAATACTGCTGAGCCAAGAACTGTTGAGGAGAAATCAATACTAAAAAATCCTGTAACATAGTAACAGTGTGAGACTTGGTACTGCACCAAGAAAGGGAGGCAAAGAATAAGGTAGGGGAACTGAAAGGAAGTCTACAGACTTGCAGATCCAACATGAAACCTGTCTAAAATGAATCACTAAAATATGTTTTACTTCTAAGCTTCCTGGGCCTTAGAGGAAGAAATATTTTTTCTGGAACAGATTAAAGAAGAAAAATGAAATTTAATCAACATCAGCAAACAGCACCAACTGAGACCTCAAATTTTCTCTCAGACTGAAGATTTCATATTACTGTCGGTAAGAGTGGTACATGTGGGTTAAAAATATTACAGGGACCTTTGAGCCTTCTTTTTTTCCTGTATGAACTCAGAATGATGGAGTTACTTCTTTTACAACATAGCTCCCTCCAAAAATACAAGTCAGATTTTTGTCTGAATATACTTGTGGAACCAACAGTAACCATTTCTGGTAATTTAATTTTGTTACCCAGAACTTCTATCTCAAAACTAAAAAAAAAAAAAATAAAATTAAAAGTCACTAGCAACAAAAAATAACATAGAGAAGGTTTCAGGGAGCAGACTATTAGAAGGACATATGGACTCTGAGTAAACATAACTGACAGCCATACTACACAAATGGACATCTTTAAACTCTGGCCATTTTTAGAATTGAGAAAAAAATCAGGATAGCACTAGCATTTTAGGAGGCTATGCAGAACTGTAGTAGATATCTATGTTATTCTATCATCAGAAAACAATGAAATTGACAATGCTGCTAGGTGAAAAAATTTATATGTACTTTGCTGAAGAGCTCTCTACTTTACAAATAATTTTTTTTATTCAATACATTCTATAAATTAATCTCCTGGAATAGATTCTGCATCAGCAACCTCTTTTTGCCACTCTAATACTAGAGATACAATAATACCTACATTTTGAAAGTTGTAAAGTTCTTGCCCTCTGGTTTAAAA